TTTATTATTGTAAGAACATTAAAGATGTGGAATTATTTGCATAAAGAGTTTCTTCATCAAATTCTAAATAATTTCTGGGTATATTCTTGTTTGATTGTTATTTTTTTTAGGGAGGAATTCAATAATCAAAGGCATAATAGTTAATATATTTGTAACAGCCAGGGCTTTCTTAATGCAGGGGCACACTGGGTAGTTGCCCAAGGGCCCCCACAAGCATAGGGGCCCCATAGGCTTGCTGACTTTTCATTAAATTATTCCAGGAGATTAATTCTGAACCTTCAAATCCTCTTTATTAAAATATTTAGGTGGACTAATCACCTCAGTATCCTCTGTTTTCTGTACAGGCGATTTTGCTGTTGCGAATACAAAGTTTGACCTTGACAAAAATAATATACTCGTACTAATTGTACATAAGCAAGACAAAATCAATACCCATAACTTTTTGAAGCCGTACACTGGAACACTTGATTAAAAATAAATAATTCATAGTAGTTTTGTACTGTGCCATGTCCGACGGTATGATTTGCCAACTGGGTAACAGGGTAACATTTTTATGTTGAATTCTTGGTTTTCAACTTCAAGGCTCATGTCATATTGTCCAAACATTTGTGTGAACATGCTGCACAGTATCTTTTTTAATGTTTAAACACTGATTTTGTTGGAGGTACCAATAAATATAAGCTTAATTGTATTGATAATTTAAATTTTTACTCCTGTGAGTGGATGTGTATGTAGGGCCCCAGTACACTGCTATGCCCAGTGGCCTATAATGCTGTTAAGACAGCCCTGACCACAGCTTGTTGATTCGAGGAGAAACCTGACTGCCATTTTGAAATCATATGTTGTGACAAAACTGGAAATCACTTTATATTGGGTTTTTCTCCTTTTGGATAAGAGTTAAAAATGGAAATGTGCCAGTGGTTTCTACCTCTACCATATCATCTCATGTCTAAAAACAACCTGTTAACAGTTATCTATTTTATGCTTAATGTTTAGACATGTTTGCCATCTTGAGTATATATATCTAAACAAAAATGTTCTTATTTGTCATATGCCATGGTTATCTCTGTTTTACCCTAGTGAGCTTGCAAATGCTGTTGTGGCTTTGTGGGCCTCTATGTATTTCTTGCACACAAAAATAAAGATTTTTTTTTTTTTTTAAATAAAAAAAAATATGGAAATGTGTGGCTTATATTGATGGACTTTCAATTCTTTTTTCAATATATTACTAAGTAACAATGTATACACGCAGTGTCGTACGTACCACGGTCGCAGGGGTTGCAGCTGCGACTGGGCCCCTCACTGCAGGGGGCCCGGCCGCAGCCACGACCCCTGCAACCGTGGGCCGCCTAGATGCCCTCCCCTCTGTGTTCCCCCTGTCATAGGGGGGCCCAAGAGGTGGCGGCGGCACTAAAGCCCCACTGGACCCCAGGGACAGATCCACGCCAGCTCTCCATGTAGGGAGGCTGGGTGGACATTTAATATGAATAATTTGTGTGTGTATGTGTGTGTCTGTAAGTGTATGTGTGTCTGAGTGTGTGTGTGTGTCTGTGAGTGTGTGTGTCTTTGAGTGCGTGTGTGTGTCTGAGTGAGTGAGTGTGTGTGTGTGTATGAGTGTGTGTATATAATGGTATGTGTGTGTGTCTCTACATGTGTCTATGTATGTCTGTATGTATGGGTCTCTGTGTGTATATGTGTGTGTGTCTGTATGTATGGGTATGTGTGTGTATCTGTTTGTCTGCATGTGGGGAAGGGGGGGCGGGGACGTGGGGGATAGGAGGTAGATGTACGGGGGGGCCCAGGTCAATTTTCGCCCCAGGGCCCCGTAGTTTCCAGTTACACCTCAGTATATACGCACACATGCCATTCTGAAACGATTCATTCACAAAGTATTGGAACTTCACCCTTGAATGTTTTATTGAATTCTCATAGCCTGTTTCAAAACTGTTTTATGTACTTTCTTCTCTCAGTGATTTTATGATAGCTGGGGGAAGCATAACCCTTGGATAATAATAATGGTGCATTGTGCCTGGTAACTGGTTCAAATCCAGTACAAGAATTTCAGAAATGCTGAACAGAGAAATTTATAAAAAGAAAGTAATTTGACTTATGAACATAAGTACGGTAATGACAATGATTATCATTATCATTCTAATTATTATTTTTAAACAGTGTGAAATAAAGATTTTTTTTCAGAGAATGTTTACAGATAAAGAAGGTTTCCGGATTAAATGGAAAGAAAATAGTTTTTGTTCTTTTTTTTCAGAAATCACGGTTGATAAAAATCACCACTTCGCATATGTATGTGCAGCCCAGTTCTGGAGCTGAAGTTGTGAAGTCCCTCTTACACACTGCACAAGTCAATGTAAGTGTTTTACCACCAACCTCACTGAAATCAGGAGCAAGAGAAGACTGTTTGATATGTACGTAGAATGCATTTTCAGAAGACAAAATACTTGTATGACATTTTTTTCCTGCTGATGAGAAGCTTATAACTAATGTGAATTAATAGATACACAAACAGGAATGGTGTACATGAAAGCAGATTTGCCTGGAGCGCAAATTCAAGGAGGTGGTATTCTCTTCGTCTGTGGTAGAGAACAAACCAGTGAGGCAAATGTTGGTAATGTGAAAAACAAAGCAGATTTCCTGACCATTATTCATGGCAGCATTTACTCATGGGTTAGCTCCTCCCCTCACAGCAGAAAGGACAGGAAATAGAAACTGGTATAAATAGATCCTCCCCCTTCCCCTCAGGCAGTCTTTTTTCCTGTCCTGCACAGCAGTTTGGAAGGAGTCTGCTTAATCAGGCCTAGATTTTTTCTTTTATGCTCACCAGGCAATATTTTTTAGGCCCTGCCAAGGTTCAGCCTCTAAGCCCTGAAGACCCAGCAAAACGCACTAAGATGAAAGTGGCTAGTCTGGGTACCCCCTTTAGTGACTGGGGGTCAGACCCAACCTCTCCCTGAAGGGATGAAAATGGTCCACTGCATGCTAGGGTTCAGCCTCTTATCCCTGAAGTCCCAGCAACAGGCCAGCTTGGGTACCCCCTCAGGGGATGTATGTTATATACTGCCTACATGAAGCCAGGCCAGGGTGCAGCCTCTTATGCCTGAAGAACCAGCAAACAGCATATTGGTAAGAGTTGCCAGCCTGGGTTCCTACTTCAGCAAACAGGGGTCTGTCCTATCTCTCTCGGAAGTGATGACAGTAGTCCACTGCATACTTGAGGCCCAGTTGAGTCTAAGCCTTTATCCCTGAAGACCCAGCAAACAGCACATGTGTAAGAGTTGCCAGCCTGGGTACCTCCTTCAGCAATCAGGAGTCTAACCTATCTCTCTCCCGGAGGGGATGACAGCGGTCCACTGCATTCATGAGGCCCAGCCGAGTCTAAGCCTTTATCCTTGAAGACCCAGTAAACAGCACTTCCATAGGTGACTACCGGGGTATACCTATTCTATGTATTCCACCTTGTATGGTGATGATGAACGGCATTTGGGGTACAGATGGAAGCCTATAGTTTAAACAGTTTAGGCTGTCAGTTGTTCAAATACCCATTTTGCCACTGAAACACAGGCCTGCAACGGTTCAGGTAAGTGCATTAGTAATTTAGATTAAAACTAGTATAGGCACCTGGGTCTCTGTTCTTTCAGTCCCTCCCAGCTACTTACATTAGTCTTCCTTCTAACAAATAGGTCACATTTAGGATATTTGTGTGATGAGCATTCAGGTATGTTTATACAAGGATGTTTGGTGCAAAAGAGTGCTGATAATACAAGGATGCATTGTGCAAAGGAGTGCTGATAATGCAAGGAGGCATTATGCAAAAGAGTGCTGATAATGCAATGAGAAATTGTGAAAAAGAGTGCTGATACTGCAATGAGACATTGTGAAAAAGAGTGCTAATAATGGATATCCTGGCTGTATGAAGTCTGCTGGAATTCCACAGTCTTGTAGCCAGAGAAATATCCAAGGCAAGAAAACTTTCTTGGGTGTCTGATTGAAGTACACACATGTATATGTCAGGTTTTAAAAACCTAACTAAGTCCACACACACACTTGTCTCTATCAAGGTATGTGGCATTGATTGCTGTTATCTGTGCATTATCGCAAATAATCAGGCTTTTGCAGACAGTGGAAGAATATACTGCACAGGAGACCACTGGGCCTCAGTATCTGTACACGAACTGGTGGTGGTACAGCATCGGTATGTTTCCACTATATGCTCTAATGTATGAATTGGTATGAAGTCTCAGTGTGTGTCCAGTTTATGCTCTATGTATGAGTTACTATGAGGACACGGCCTCAGTATATGTATCCACTATATGCTCTGTGCACAGCCTCAGTGTATATATATCCACTATATACTATATGTAGTAGTTACTATGAGGACATGGCCTCAGTATATGTACCCACTATATGCTCTTTGTATGAGTTACTATGAGGACTCGGCCTCAGTATATATTTATCCACTATATGCTCTATGTATGAGTTACTATGAGGACACCGCCTCAGTATATGTACCCACTATATGCTCTATGTATGAGTTACTATGAGGACACAGCCTCAGTATATGTACCCACTATAAGCTCTATATATGAGTTACTATGAGGACACAGCCTCAGTATATGTACCCACTATAGGCTCTATATATGAGTTACTAGGAGGACACTGCCTCAGTATATGTATCCACTATAGGCTCTATGTATGAGTTACTATGAGGACACTGCCTCAATATATGTATCCACTAGATGCTCTGTGTATGAGTTACTATGAGGACACTGCCTCAGTATATGTATCCACTATAGGCTCTATGTATGAGTTACTATGAGGACACTGCTTCAGTATATGTATCCACTATATTGTCTATGTATGAGTTGATCTGGAGACTCTGCCACAGTGTGTGTTCTTTATATGCTCTGAGTTGCTGTGAAAACACAGCCTCAGTATATGTACTCTGCATGCTCTATAGGTAAAATGGTGTGGAGACATTGCTTCAGTGTATCTGTTCTCTATATGATTGATGTATTAGTGGAAACACAATATAGGTGAATGATATAAGACACATCCGCTATATGAATCCAATCTAATACAAGTTCTATGTGTGGGTTGTTAGTCACAACCTCAGTATATGTGAGTGGTATAATATGTGCATGAAGTTCTGTTAAAACAGCCTCAATTTAGCTCACTCATATAATCTTAATATGTGTGCAGGCATAGTGTCACCCTATAGCAGATGCAGGCTATGTATGATTACTATTTGAACTAACTCAGTATATGTGACGATATATCTGTGCATAAGGTGCTGTTAGAAACACCCACAATGTATGTGATTCCTATATTCTGTATGCAGGTTGGTAGTATTAGATAACCCTAATTTATACACGGTATTGGTAGATTTAATAATACAAATGATCTAAGGTCTGGGTTTTGCCCTGAAATGTAACACTGCCCAATTCTAGCAAAAACAAATGCACTGTTGCACTGGTTAAGTAATTATTGCCTACTGTAGATTTTCTATTTCAGTTTTTTAAATGAAGTAGATAAGGAAACATACTGCTTTTGGCTTTGTATTAGATTCCTTCTCCCACAGGTGTTTCAGGATAAGCAATTAACACATTTTACCACTTCAGATAGATTGCAGGTGTTACCGAACCTGTCTGAGTGCCTCTCTCAGGAGAGAAGGAGATCTGTTTTTCCAAAATGGAGCATGGTAATGTTTAACAGAATCAATGCTTTTTTGTGTGCACACCGATGTATTTAGAGGAACAAAGGTTTAAAAATAATATCAGGAAGTATGTGAGAGGGTAGTGGATGCATGGAATAGCCTTCCAGCTGAAGTGGTAGAGGTTAACACAGTAAAGGAGTTTAAGCATGCGTGGGATAGGCATAAGGCTATCCTAACTATAAGATAAGGTCAGGGACTAATGAAAGTATTTAGAAAATTGGGCAGACTAGATTGGCCGAATGGTTCTTATCTGCCGTCACATTCTATGTTTCTATGTTTATACATGAGACCATTCTACAAAAGTTTTTCTATTCCCAGGCATCCTCTCCCCTCTGTTCAAGATAGGGAATGTTTTTTCCAGTTGGTGGCAGTGTTTTACCTTCAGATATATGCTGATTACTAATGCACAGCTTAGTAGATCATACTGGTTGCAGGAGCACAAATTGGGCTATTAATTGATCTGATAAGTAGGTAACGCTGAAGCCATTACCTGATTTAAAAGCTGTTAATATTGTTTTTTTTCTTTCACCTGGTCATAACTTTTTATTCTTTAAATCTGAATTCATTTCCTTAAAGCATAAAATTTATATTCAGTATTCTCTTTTATCCCTTGGGGACCTGAAAGTTTGACAATACCTTAAGTATATGTCAGGGGTGGCATGCTTTTGGTTCTTAAGGATGTAATGATCAGACATTTCTGACATTTCTGTGAAGGGGAACATTATAATTTCCTTTCTGCAATAAAGGTATTCTTTTAGGCTCATATGCTCCAGGTAACTTTGATGCTGTGTATTGCAAGTATTTGAGGTTTTTCCAGTCCCCAGACCATTCTACCTAGTTTACTATTTCAGGTAAAATTCACCTGCTACCAGAACAATAGAGGAAATCCCTGAACAGGTAGTTCCATTATGGCCCTCTGTTCTGTTATTCATGGGGAATCTTCTAGGTGTCCTTATATCTGGAATTTGCAACCAATGTGTGGCCTTAAGTGGTTGATTCAACCTGCATAATGTAATTTAATGCATCTTGTTGATGACAAACATTTGACCGATATGTTTTACAGGGTCTCTGTGCCTAGATCGGTATAAGTGATGGTCACTCCTAACATTGCATTGATTTAATACTTGTGGATTATATGTTTGGATTGGTGTTGATAACTTGTTCATATAACAAGCTGCTTATTATCACCATAGGCTCTGCCATAAGTACTTCTTCACTATCTGAAGATAAGGTAAGAGTAAGTATGCGGTTGTTGTTCTCATAAGGATAACTGAATATCTTCTACTATCCTTCTTATTATGTGTCTGCCACAATGTATAATGTGCCTCTGGTTACCACCTTCCCATCAGTATCTTGCCTATTACATATCTCCTATTATATTGCACAACAGTCTCTAATAAATTTGATTATACTGTTTGGCATAATCTGTACTATTTACAATATGTTTATCTTTGAATGTACACATACTGATGTGGTTGGCCTCCTCATAATTTAGTAGTTGCCACAAATTCTATGGTTCATACCGATATTTATTTTTTTCCTCAACTGATCTGTATATGAGTCTTCTTGCCTTTGTCTAGTAATGTTATTAGTTTATTCCTCTCCTGTGACTGATCATTGCTGTATCAATTCATCCACTGGGTGAGGTATTGTTGTGAGTCTGATTTTTTGCAACATAGGGTCATTGTTGCAGTGTTTTAATAACATACTCTTATTTCTCTACTAGGCTCTGCCTCTTTCTGACAGGCAGATATTGATTTTGTTCCTGTATCTTTAGGTAACTAGTTCACAAGGCAAGAGGAAGCAGTGTGAATCGTATTTAATAAATACATGCAGTAAGTAGTAGGATTCTCAATATAATTCTCCCCGTGTTTAATAGCATGGTGTGTCCGTTCTCATCCAACATTATCTGCTTGTTCCAGTATGATCTCTGGAAGTTATGCCTTTGTCAAGGTTCTGATTTGATGATATCAATTTGGTTTTACATTTTATATCAGAATGACATTATCCTTCTCTAGCTTATGCTATCATGGCCTTAATTCCTATCTGACTCTATATCTATTCAGGTTATTTCAGATATTGCATGCCAGGAGGTTGCTGACCTTGCAGCCTCTAGGGCTGCTGTCTGAGCAGATTTTATGACAATTTCCTATTGATTACTTGTTTGGCTTTTTAAAGTCTTCTAAAGTTTATACAGCTCAATAATGGTTTTATAGCTATTAGCTGTTTTTGAACTCTGTCCCTCCCTCAATATATACTGCTTGGGTATTCCCCATGAGTAAAGGCTGCCATGAATAATGGTCAGGAAAAAGGAAAATTGTTTCATACTTACTGTAATTTTCTTTTTCTGATCATTATTCATGGCAGCATTACGCTCCCACCCATATACTATAAGAGTTGTGAAGCTAGTTACAAAGACTGCCTGATGGGGAGGGGATGGATCTATTTATACCAGTTTCAAAGTTCTATTTCCTGTCCTTTCTGCTGTAAGGGGAGGAGCTAACCCATGAGTAAATGCTGCCATGAATAATGATCAGGAAAACAAAATTACGGTAAGTATGAAACAATTTTCCTTTATTGCTAACTTAAACATTGCAGACATGCAAATATACTTGTCTTCAAAGGGCCACCATCCTCCATAAAACTTTTGGGTGCTCAATGTGAAACCTGAAAAGTGAACATTTGTACAAGAAGGTGTTTGTTTTCATCGTCCAATATGACAACTTTGGAAAAATAAAAACAGAATGGCTACATTGAAGCTGTCTGCGTTACAATTATTTATATAGTGCCAGCATACTTTGTAGCACTGTACAATAGCTAACAAGAGAAACATTTAATTCTGATAAACCATGTATGACATATAGGAATAGTAAGTGACTATATCCTCCATTTGCCATATTTTGCAAACAATCTGTTTACAGATAATACAAAGTAGCATATGTCTACTCGACTTTGCATTATGTCATCTTTTGGCAGTACTGCTTCAGCCAATCAGAACGTCCACCACTCCAATTCCTCGAGCAAACCCTATAAACAGCAAGCTCGAAGGCTTTCAAAAGCCAGTCTTTGGGCCGAGTTGATACTATTTTTTGTGTTCAAACTTTTCTTAATTGTAACAAAGGTTGCATTGCACTATAATGCTTTTTTTAGGTGGACGTCCATTTCAAAGGGCAGAAGATGAGGATAACAGGGCAGCAGGTAACAATGCTGGATTAGGTAAACATTTTTTTTTCACACTGACCTGAAGGAACTCCTCTATCATTCTACTAATAACCCTCACCCCGTTGTTAAACAAATGTAGGTTAAAGATAACTACACTGCACAAAATTATAAATGCAACACTTATGTTTTTGCCCCCATTTTTCATGAGCTGAACTCAAAGATCTAAGACTTTTTCTATGTACACAAAAAGCCTATTTCTCTCAAATATTGTTTACAAATCTGTCTAAATCTGTGTTAGTGAGCACTTCTCCTTTGCCGAGATAATCCATCCACCTCACAGGTATGGCATATTAAGATGCTGATTAGACAGCATAATTATTGCACAGGTGTGCCTTAGGCTGGCCACAATAAAAGGCCACTCTAAAATGTGCAGTTTATAATTTTGTTCAGTGTAAATAGTATAAAATGTGTACGCGTTGCTGGGGTATACTTGCATACCAACTGCCAAATGTGCCTGTGTATTATTGGGAGTGGAATAGTTCTACCTAAATCCAGATAAGGCACATTCAACTCAACTAACTCTATACTTCTATTAAATATACGATTTCTTTAAATAAATGGTAAAGCACAGCAAACCTTAAAGTTCTTTGTTTTAAAAACATGCATTTAAAAAAAGAGAATTTGATCTATGTGTTGGAAAAATTGCTAGCAAATGCATAAATGGAAAATATTTTTATCGAATGGATTTGGTTTAGAGCTGTGGACATGAGGTACACAAATTATTAATTCCACCGAACTTAATCCCAGACAGAAAGTATGATGTGCCATTGAATGAACACAAATGGAAAATAATTATCATGTATATTTCTTATATTTTTTTGTTTTTTCCTTGCATTGTTTTGAATTCTATTCCTTGTCGCTGTCTTTTAGTTCACGCTAAATGAAAGTGTTAAATAAAAGCAAATAGAGTAATTGTATTAGTATCTTAGTAAGCGGAAATCTAATCTATGTTCCTTTGTGCTGAAAGGAAACACAAATACTATGAACACAGTCTGCACAAAGTTTCATTGCACACATCGTGGAAAACAGGTAGGCTGGAGCTAACATCACCGAGAGCATCATGTCACTTGTCAGAAATGTGAGAACAAATGTATCAGTACAATCTTTGACTTTTTTTGAAAGGAGAAAGTGCCTAAGCATTGCCTACAGTAGTTTGGACAACAGTTACGCTTCAGGGAACCACAAGAACAATACAATTACAGCTAAGAAACTATCCCACCTAAATCTAACAATCCTGAAGATGTATAATTAGGATCAGATTTACATCCGGGGTAAAT